TCCTAATCCTTATTACGAACATACGCAGTAATTTATTCTATCTGTAACTAATTGATTGTTATTATTATAGCCATTATTATTATTATCATTATTATTATTATTTATTATTTTATTTATCCATTCCAGGTTTGGATCCAAGCATGGATCCAAGCTTGGAACATGGTCGGAATTTCCGAGGTACCCAAGCTTCGTTTTACCTATTTTCACCAAGTTTTTTTAAACACTGTATTTGCATAACATCAAGGTTGGTTCAAGATAGGAATTCTAAGGCTTGGTATGCTAAGCTGATTCAAGCTTGGACCCATCGTTCAAGCTTGGATTTCCGCACCTGGGTATTTGAGTTATCTGGGGCCTATAACCCATATTCTCTTTGAAACCCCAGAGGGAAAATACAAAAGAGAATAGCAATAGATTCGAATTCGAGGGAAGAAATAAAACATTCTCCTCTTTTTCCGTGTGATCATTCAACGGTTTGAATACACTGATGGCAAAACCCCAACGCCAAATTGAGCCGAGGTTGGAACAAACTGCTGCTAACTTAGTGACTTCAATGTAACCGAAAGATAATAGAAATCGGGAAAATATTGAAATGAGTCCGTTGCTATCGGCGTATACTTGGCCATATTAATCGAAAAAAAGGAAAACTTACATCAACGAAAAGCTTGAGGGCTTGATTTGTAAGATCAACCTATTCTCAGGTTTCATGTAACTTGTGGCGTTTGTATTTTATGGATTGAATACGATTTGGAGGTAATAGAAGGGGTAGTTGTATCGTGTACACGGTAGCTCTCGGCCTTGTTTGTTGGATAGAGGCGAAGATTTTTATCTTGATTTCGACCTCCGCTAATAGCTCACCAAAATTAAGTTCTCAAACGTAAAAAATTACTATTTTTTTTTCGGTTACAGAAGTAAACTGTTACGGAAACACTCAATTTAATACAATAAAAATGAAAATTTATTTGTGAAAACAGACATAATATGGAAGATAACCATTCGGAAACATATTGCTAATTTATTAGCAAACACAACTATGTGATATTTTTTTTTTATGATTTCCATTCGTGATGTTTGGATAGAAAAATGTATTTTCAAAAAATCGTAGTCCCAATTTCCGAAAAAAAATTAACGTATATTTCCCGGAATTCGCGATTTCGTCCGCGGTTACGATTTTTACATCGTAATTTTTCTTATTAAAATCTTCCCGTGTATATAATAGGTATATTATAGGGACAGAGCAAATATGATATCTATAATCGAAGGATCGATTATAAGTAAGAAGTATATGATGAGGACAGAATATACATGCTATGTATATTAAGAGGTCAGAATATATATAATAGGTATATTCTGGGTACTGAGCATATATAATGTAGATTTTGTGACGTCCGTTAGAAAATTCATTTAAAATCATTGCCTTACGTCGTCATTTAATTATCTCAGTGATAGAAACGACTTTTGAAATCCAAATTATCCTCTGCAAAGTAACCCCCTCGATGTTAAGAATATTTCAGCTAAATACATCTGTGAACGATAAAAATGTTGCCAGCGTCGAGTTTTTCTAGGTTAGGGAAATATCAACTGTGCAGTATCACATGCACGGTAAACACTCGAGGCTAGTCTCGGCTCCCTAATCATCCACTTTCCATACGTGATCATAAATTTCAATAAACATCGTGCTCTCAAACCGGAAAACTGTTGATAACAAATTCTAAGCGTGGGTCCAAATTTTGGAACCCCCATGACAAATATTTGATATAAAAATAAAGGAACGATTTTGTTTCCCACAAGGAGGAAACGGCATAAATATTAATGAACATGTGGTACAAACATATGAAAATATTTAGTACAACAAAGTAGTTCTTTTATGAATAATGTGCTATTTCGGATATTAATTAACCTATCACAATCAGTTAAGAAATATTGGTAGCGTGGAAAAAAACCACGAACTAAGTAAAGTTAAGCAATATTTCTCACATTATTCAGTTACTATTGAATTACTAATAGTGTTCGATGAATTATACTTTATTATAACATTTCAGCAAATTTATCTGAATTATTTCTAAAAATTAAATAACAAAAGTGTTAACTTTAAATTAGAATGAGGAACAAAAAAGAATTGTGGAGAGAAAATGTGGGCATTCTTAAACCAATTTTCATAGGTTGTTGGGGAATAGAAGAGACTGCTTACCCCCCAAAAACATCTTCAGGTAGAGAGATGGAGTTTGACCTCGAAACACGGAGATTTCAAACCACTAGAGTGGTAAATTTCGGCTAGAGTCTTCTGTATTTGGTTCCTGAAATTTCCCTATGCATTCTGAGGGCACACCCGCCTGGATAAAACTATACAACCTTGTACGCGATAACAACAAGTCAGTTACAGTTCCAATTGCAGTTGCAGTCATCACTCC